AAGTCTGGGAACCCTGATCTTACTCTAACCTGCTTGAAGATTTAATGCACGAAGATAAGCATCTCTCCCTGATGTATTCAGGATCAGTACTTTACTATCAATGCAGATTCTCGATACGTGCATCTGAATGATACAATCACACCAGAATGCTTTGATTTTAATTAAAAGGGGAATTACACTCCAAAGTAGAAAATCCTTATTATACTGAAACATTTCTTCTGATCTTTCAAATAAAAAAAAGTAAATAGTGAGAGTTGAACAGCTAAACTTTATCTTGTCTTTGCGTAAGTGACATTCTCGTTCAAAATAATGTTTGACTACTTTTGGTAATACTAGTAACTCTCCTATTCTTACCAATTTTTCTGATTTTTCCCTGATATTTTGTGTAGAATGTTTCCCATATTTGTATATTTTAGTTCCTGTTAACACACCTATTCTATCTCTAACTGTATGTCATTAAATTGCCTAATTAAGTATCATGTTACAGGAATGACCTTTGATTTCGAGTCCTAATGGTAAGCTTAACGAGTTAGAGATGTCTGCACTGCTAGTAATTTGTGTTTATAAGATTCTCATAACAGTATTGACATTTGGGCTGCATTGGTGAAACCAGCAAAGGGGAGATAAACTTAATCAAAATTCCTGTGTGGTGCATAGGATCCCAGTGTGATTTGAGACATAACATTTGTAGTGTGTCATCACCTGTCTATTTTCATAAAGTCCTGCTTGTGTTTAAAACTTTAATTTTAGCCAAGGGAACATAGCTATACAGGGAAATGTCTACTGGAGTAGCTTGTGGCCATTTTATTTGAAAAGGAACACTTGCTTTGGTTTCGGGAATGTTCTTTCACCTAAGACCCAGCTCTCAATGTTGCCCATTCAGTGGCAACCAAGTCTTGCAGCAGATGGTCAGTAATGTCCTTGATGTTTGGATGTGGAGGAACACACATGTGATGTTAATTGCTAAAGACTGAGCGTGGACTACCCAACACTGGCTGAGCTTGTCTGGGTAAGGTTTGGTAGCTGTCAGGTTGTCTCTGGGAACCTGCTGTGTCCCGGAGCTGGTATTTTGGCTGGAGAGGGGTGAGTAGCTAAGGGCATAGTACAGCTGAGGACTCGGACAGGCAACTGAAGCAGTGGCCTACCTTTGACCAGCCTTCTTTCTTTCTTCCTGCAACAGCTTCTGTCCTTTTTTTTTGTATTATTTATTAGATAAGAGATGATGTTTTCTTATGATAAGCAAGTTTGAATAGGTACAGGGTGAAAATCCTAGGAGGCTTTCTAAGCAGATTTGTCCAAAGGCTGTCTTGTTTCCTCAGTCACCCAGCTGTAACCATGCTGATTTGCCTTTTGCTTTCCATATGCTCCCACTATGGGAGATGAGACTTCAGGTGCAGTGTGTTACAGCCTTAGCCCTTTGCTAAGGCTATGTGAGCTCATGCAGCGGAGGGGAGTATTAGAGCTTTGCAAGAAATTCAGTTTTGGGGGGCTGTAGAAGAGAAGCTTCTAGTGGATATAACTAGGTTGTACCTCCTTCTGGGAGAGAGTTATGAATTGCAGGAAAAATAGAAAAAAATAAAGGACCAGACTGTTCTTCATGTTTCTTTTTTGAAAGCATACTAGAGAAAAATGATACTCTACAGTACAATTTTCCTGCCTCTTTCAGGGTGCTTTCAGGCCTCTTTGTGTGCATGTGCCCTGACTTGCCTGGAGCCTTTTGATAGCCTCTCTTGCTTGAGCACGGTGGAGCTGTCTGAGCATCAGTTTGCTTGGGATTTCCTTTCAAAGCATCACTCGTCATTGAAATCCTGCTTTGTGCTGTTTGGCTACATAGGTGATCATGTTCCTCCATGAAGCATGTTAACAATACCTTTCGTGACGTTGATTTGACAAGAATAGCTTTTAATTTGTCTATGCCACATTCATTCCTGTGTGAAATTTGTCTTTACTGACAGTATATGTTTATGTTTTTGACTCATAGATGCCTGAAAGTTGACTAATGAATTCTTCTTAGCTAGATCTCTTGATTTTTTGTAGTAGATTTTTTTATCTGCAGGCAAGCCCAGAAGAATCTTTCAGCTGTATTACTGTGCTTATTCAATGCAGCACTATTGCTCTGTGAGGTTTTGGTAGGGATCAGGCACTCCTCATAGCAATGTTTTCCTGAAACTTCATTTCAGTGCATGAACAACCTGAAAGAGAGAGCAAGCAGTGCGTGTGGATAATAGAAATTATTTTGTATTGAGCAATTATTCAGATTGAAATCAATGTTTTATCACTGTAATATTCAGGAGTAAATGAAATCACAGGTGAGTATCAGTAAGTTAATGAAGGAGAAAAGCACTTGTTCTTTAAAGGCAGAATGTTGCCGTGGGGTCTGTGCAGCTGTGAGGACTATGTTGTATGGGCTGGACTTACCATGTAGCTGACACAAGCCAGAAACCAGAAGGGAAGTTGTTCTATGTGGGTGACAAATAACTTGATGTGCCCAAGCTCGTTAAACTTTTGATGAGGGTAGAAACTGAACTCCAGCCCTTGAAGTCTGAGCTCTGTGCCATCAGTTTGCTGCTTTTTGCTTTTAATGTGTATCTTAAGCACTACAGGGCTCTTGTTGGATGGTTTGCATCCTTAGACCAGTCAAACTGCAAGAATGTAGTATAAAATGAATGCATTATGAGTGTCATCTACAGCATGGAACAGTTTCTACTAATTAATGTGTTGCTTTTTACCTCCAACAATTAATACTTGAAAATTTCTAAGGTTTTAGATAATTTTTTTTGAAACAAAACATAGGGGGTTTTTTATCTTCAAATACAGTGATATCTTGTGTTCCTCTCTTCTCCGAGGCACATGTGTAGGGATTTTGTGCAGCAGTGAGATGGAGCAAGAGAAAAGGAGAAGGTGCTACTGAATTCCCTACCTCTGTAATTAAACACTTGTGTTCAAAGTCAAGATTTTTGTGAAAGCAGATTCCAAATGTGCTGTTTTCCTATAGGCTACAGTGGTTACAACTTCTTCAAGGTCTCTTTCCTTGGGATGTCCTCGCTGGTCTGGGTGGTGAGAATGACAGTAACATGAGTTAGTTATTACTCTAGAGGAAGGGCAGTAGATGCGGGAGTCTGTCAATTTGTTGTTGGTGCTGTGTGTGGCCAAGACAGTCTAAAATATGAGGACATCTTGAGTCCGTCTAGGCTGAGTGTTTCACTATCTGCACATCTATCTTTTCCATGGGCAAAGTGAAGCTATATAGTAAGGAACTAATACTTTTTATTGTGCTTGAAATTGCGTAAGAAGAAATAAATTACTGAAATACCTGCTGTGTCCTAAATGTTGAAAATAAATTTGTTTACTTGTAGTTTCGTGTTTACTCTTTGGTCTTCAAGGTCAGCTGGAAAACAGAAAAAGGAGGTCTGCTGGAAATACAAGGGTCTAGACAAAAGAAGTTATGTATTTCCCTCTGCTATTTCCTCACCACTCTAAGACCATACAATATCCGAACTTGCTCTTGCTCCTGAGTGTCTTGTACATATCTTTTAAGTTGGGCAGTATATAGCTCCTGTATCTTTTCTTCTCTGGGTAACTTCTATTTTCCTTCGCTGCTTTTGTATTTAGATGCCTCTGCTATGAAACTGTGGATTTCTATTTCTTTGAGGCTTTCCCTGAGTCTGGTGCTCAGTGTTTAAAACTTGGTGCTGATACATGATCTCTGCTCTCCTATTTCAGGGTTTTGCAACACCAGCCCCTTCGGATTGCTCCCAGGAAAAAGGTTTTGTCTTGATGCAGTTACTTTTTCTATCTGGCTAGATCTTGACTAAATGCTGATCGTCCCATTAAGTGAATAAAAACTTCATCGTAGACACGTGCTGGTACCATGACCTCTCTTAGCATAGTATAAGGCACAGCATGAAATATTCTGGCATAAGGATATTCAGTTAGTTGATAAAATATGTCTTGGCCTCACAAGTTGCATATCCAAAATTCTATGAATCCTTCAGGGAAACCTTTCTTGTTCACACTTGGGAACCTCTGTCAGGAGTTGTGTGTAGACTTAGGAAACTTGTGCCTGTTGCTGACTGGGACGTGTCCAGCATTGGCTTGCAACCATTGTATCCTCTGTTTCCCTAGAGGAGAGAATTTAAATGCCAGTGTCGAAGTCCAGTTATTTGAATAAGTTAGAATGTTTCAGATCTTTCTAGTTACAGGTCAAGCTTTTTGGGCTGATTGTTCTGGTGGTTCTTAGAAGCCTTTTTCAGTTTTCTTAATATTTGTCCTATGAACTCGCAATCCGAACTAGATGTATTATATGGGACTCATTAAAGCCCAATGCAGGGGTAAAAATTTAGGCATTATCACATAATATTCCTCATTTTCTCTTTCAAGAATCGCATTAATGTGTTTGATCTATTTCTACACTGGGAGCTCACTGTCAGTTGAGTAAATTTGAGGGTCTGGTGCTTCATTTTCTTTACATACCAGAAAATTAAACTCAGTTGAAACTCTTCTGTGAAGGAAGGCTACCTTTGTAGGCACTGTGTGTCCCTCTGGGAGCAGATAGAAATGAACCAGATGCAGTACATGCTTGTCCTAAATTGCTAGTGCATCTGTGCTTGGTGTTCAGGGCATATGGTGATGTTTTGTTGACCTGAAAAGTATGTTATTCACACGTTTACCAAGTTGCTTTGTATTACTAACCAGAAGTTATAATTCAAGCTTTCAGTCCTTAGCTATTAAATTAGCATGCCTAATGCATGGGAGAGCATTTGTGCTGTTCTAGGGGTTATGTTTTCTGGCCCTTGCCAGATCATTGGAACGACTCTGATCCAGTCTGGCAGTTCTGTATTTGAATTTCACTGATAAAGGCACCGAGCAGAGTCAAGGCTAATGCACATCTCTGCCAGATCCATGTAAAAGCACCTCTACTGCAAGCAGCAATTCCCTCTTCACTATATTGCTCTTTCCAGCGTGAGCCTGCTTTCTAAACTTGTTCTGTGTTGTTATAGGCTGCAAGCATGTGAAAGGCATTCTCTTGTATGGACCTCCAGGCTGTGGTAAAACACTTATGGCGAGACAGATTGGCAAGATGCTGAATGCCAGAGAACCAAAGGTGGTCAATGGTCCAGAAATCCTCAATAAATATGTGGGCGAATCTGAGGCCAACATCCGCAAGCTGTTTGCTGATGCAGAAGAAGAACAAAGAAGGGTAATGCAAACATAGATAAATAGCATGGTCAGTATGAATGTGCCTAGAGAATGACTGGAAAGGAGGTTTATAATCAGAAAATTACTGCTTGCATTAAAAGACTGAGTCACTGCTTAGTTTGTGATTATAGTTATTCCTTTCAAGTCTCTGAATATTAGTTTCTACAGATTCACACACTGTCAGTTGGAAAAACAATCGTAGAACCTGAAAAGGTAACTGGGCTTCTAGCTAGCTATGCTGAAGAGGGTCAGTTTGTTTAAATTCCGTGCAGAGTTATTTTAAAGTAATACAGTAGGGGCCGTCCTGCTATGCTTTGTATTATGTGGTGTGTCACTTGCTCAAAAACGGCTTAAAAATGGGATTGCATAAATTTTGCTCTGTTTTTTCTTTTCTCTTTTTTTGTGGGGGAGACATAATTAATCTATTTGGATTTTTGCTACTAAATTCAGGTGGCACATAATGTAGGATGAATTTCAAATAAGCTTTCACGGTTCCAGGTTTTTGGGTTACAGGCTTATTAGTATATATATTGTAATCCTTGAAGTGTTATAACCAATACATCATTAATTTTTCCTAGCAAAAAACTAATGGATGAGAACAGCATCTTGAAACTAGAGAGTATAGATCTTTGAAACTGGAAGTGGAGATAAAGATTCTGTTTTTTCCAAACTTGTTCTTTTTTATCTGTTGCTTTAGCTGGCTATCAAAAGCCCAATCTTTAATTTGAAGGTGTCAATACTTATTTCACGTGTGCTATGGTAATTTTTCTTTGCTGTGGATCGCTTAATCTTGATAGATTTTCTGGTAAAGAAAATACAGTGTCAGGCAAGTCACAGTTAAATATAAGGAAGTCTTTTTCAGAAGACATTAGCAAAGGACACTGTATCCCTTAATTTTATTTATGCTTAACAAGACTGCAGATTTTGCCAGTGGCTTGAAATAATTTAATTTTCTTCTGCAAAAGATTTATTAATCAGTAAGTCAGCTTTGAGTGGTAACCCATACTGATGTAAACAATCTCATTCTCTCTGGTTGTTGCAATATAACTGAAAGCTGTGAGCTTCTTTTCCTTTGCAATAACACACCTGTTAAAATAGACTTTATATTGGCTGGAGGGGATGGTCCTGATGACAAGTTGCGAGATTAAAAAGGTCTCAAAAAGGTTGGTATTGTAATGACTTGTGTCTGGGGCAGATTGCCAGTGACAGCACATTTACCCAGTGTTAACATGGTCTCTACTGTCCACAAAAGATGTTTTAAAGGTGGAATTTGAAGGGGAAAAAGCTTCATAATATGGTTACAAAAGGTATCCTGTTCTCTTACCAGCTGCAACTGCTTCACCTTTGAGCAAACCTGGAAATAAGCAGTTCTGTTCCTGATTGGCACTGAACAAATGGACTCCTTAAAAATACTAAGAACAAAGCTATTCTGGCAAGCTGTATATTTACTAACATTAGTACAACCTGAGGTATTTCCCACATGGGGTGCATCCTCCACAGTTGTGCTTTGTTCTCCATCTCCCTTTCGGAAGGCTTTCCTAGATGCTGAGTACTGTGATCCTTTGTCTGAGCTGTGTGTTCCGGCTTTGGGCTTGTGTTTTTCTTGTTCAGTCTAGTCCTATTCCTTGAAACCCTCCTTCTCTTACCAATGCCAGCTGTGAAGGCCTATGTTTGGGCAAAGCCCACCAACCACCCCGTTTTGGAGGATCGCAAGATGTTATTGTGGAAAAAGAAGTCTGAAACATACACACATAACATGTGATACTGAAAACAGTTGGAGGTATCAGCATTCTGCATCTGTGTGGCTGAGCTTGTTGAGAAATTACTGTTTGGTTTGGATTGCTTTCAGTGATGACGTGGCGTTCCTGACATATTTTTCTCTCCACTAGCTTGGAGCAAACAGCGGTGTGCATATCATCATTTTTGATGAGATTGATGCAATCTGCAAGCAGAGAGGAAGCATGGCGGGTAGCACTGGAGTCCATGATACTGTTGTAAACCAGTTGCTGTCTAAAATTGATGGAGTAGAGCAGCTCAATAACATCCTAGTGATTGGTATGATGTTGCTTACTTTCTCTGTTATGGGGTCTGGTTGAAAACTGCTGATGTTTTCCTCATTGCAGATCAGCTAAGTTATCCTTACTTGTGTCAGATCTGCTTGGACTAATCCAAACTGAATAATTGCTCTTTGACAAGCATCAGTAGCAGATTTAAAGGGAGATGGTGCTGTAATCAGCTGATATTGCTGCTTTCAACAATCTCTTCCTTTAGCTTTTGATAACAAGCATTTCATAGTTTAACAAAACTTGCAAGGAATCATATGCATTGATGTATCGGCATACGAAGGAGTGAGGCTTCTCTAGCTCTGTTGTCTAGTTGTCTTGGTGCCAGGAGCCCTGCAGATACAGTCACGAGTACAGGTTTGATCTCTGTTGCCCTGACTCTACTTGAAGGCATGACTTTTCCAGTATTTCTGAAGATGAGTATCTTTTGTATATTTTTTTGAGACTCTTTGAAGTATCTTGTTAGGTCTATGGACTGTATTCAGGGGTTGGAGACCCACTTAGTAAGCACAGATAATACTTATTTTGTTTTTAACTTTGAATTTAGGAATGACGAACAGACCTGACCTGATTGATGAGGCTCTGCTGAGACCGGGGAGACTGGAGGTGAAAATGGAGATTGGTAAGCAAGCTGGCATATCACAGTACATAAGCTCACATGTACTTACAGTAGTAAAGCAAATATATATCATAACATGAACAATTAACCAGGATGGCATAGGTGCTAAACTTCATGCAGCTCCCTCCATAATATTACAAGTAAATTTAATCAGCCAATTAAAATACCATTTTAGACTTGCCTACTGATAAGCCAGTGACCTGATCGCAGTTTCTGTCCAGGGGAACGGATAGGTATGGGCAGGCAGGATCCTGAATCTCTTGCATGAATGAAAGGAGTCAAGTAATGGCACCAGACCATTCCTAGGTAGAAACTGTGGAACTGTTGAACTTGTAGAGGAGGCAAGTATGTTGTGTGAGCAATTCTTGCCTTGGAGAAAGTGCAGATCATTTTATTTGAGTGAAATGATAATGGTGACTTTCACTGTGGGAACTGCAAATGTTAAACAGCATTGACTATTGGCTTCTGAAATCAGCAGGTCTGGAGTATCTGATAATGTAGGACTTGTTAAGAAATGAAGCCCAGAGCATCTTAGATTCATGAAAACAAGTCTCTGACTTTGCATTTGAGATCAGAATTTTGATCAGTAAAGAACATGGTGGAGTCTAAAGTGTGACTAGACTGTGGTGCTCAGTTCTGAGGTTAACAATTCACAGAAGAAAGTTTGAATAGAGAATAGCCTGGGAGTGATTAAAAGCTTAGTGATCCTGTCTTGCAGTGAGAAACTCAAATTGGTTGTTTAATTTAGAGAATGAAAATGCAGTTTCACCTGTGTAGCTTGGAAGAGCGAATAAAACATTTTCCCCTATCCTTCCACAGACATACAAATGTCACAAAAATATTTTCTATGTTCTGAGCTAGGCACCGACTATTTTAAAAGTAAAAATTCTCATAGTATAATGAGTCACAAAAAAGGAACAGGCAAGGCCGTGAGTATTACTGTGTTTTGTTTCCTTTCAATTGCAGAAAATTAAATGAAAATGTCCATATAACCCTAAAAATTGTGTGATATCATACTGGAGTGGCAGGCAAAATTGTAATTGTATATAGTGGTCTGAACTGTGGGGAAACTCTTGAAATGTGATCTATAAATGTAATCTTAAGAGCTTGCTGGGGATTTTTGACCTTATCCTTAAAGGGTAGTGTCACTCTTTGAAAGAGCCAGAAACAGGAAAAAGTTTTTGTGATAGCTGAAAAGGAAAGATTTTAGGCAAAAGAAGGAATGAGGAAGTGAAGCTGATGACTACCGAGGTAACTGCAGAGGTAACCCAGGCAGGGAGCTGATGCTGCAGAATTAATGGGACAGAGTACCGTAGGAAAGAATTTCTATCAGGCATTGCGGTGCATGTAGCTCATGCCAGATGTGAAGACTAGAGATACAACTAGAGCACTAACTAGGCTTTAAAAATCTTGTGGAGGACAGACAGCATGGATGGTTTCAAATATGCCAGAGACTTAAGAGACTAAGACATTTGTTAGATGCAGGAAAAAATACTGAAAGAGGCTCGTGCTTATTCCTGGCATAATCCACAAAAAAGGAAAATTGGGAAAAGAAGTGTTTAGCTGTACATAAAGAATTATTAGAGGTCAGCCTGACGAATAGTAATGAGAGAGAGCTAGCATTGGCAAAAGCTGTAGCCAGATACAGTCTTTGCAAACTAGCACAGCTGCAAGGAATTGAAGGAAAGACTCAACAAAGAAAGTGTCTTTTAGGGGCGAAGAAATGTAGCCATAATGACAGTCGCCTTTGAACAATCTCATACTTGAAAACAAATGCCTAATAGCAACTGTTATTAGTAAACACATGTGAGATTGAGTGTATTGCAAGTGTAGTACCTGAATCTTTAGTTGACAAAAATTAATTAAATTAAACAAATTCCAGGGACTGAGCAAGGCATCTCTGGAATAAATTATCAGATGATAAGGACTGAACACCACTGGGGACTATGCACATCTTAAAAAGTCTTTTCACTTACTCTCAGCACAAATGCTAATCAATGCAAATTGTCAGATCCTTGTAATAAAGACTGTGAAGGCAGGTTGGAAAATGATCTAAAGAACAGCATGGTTTTACCAAGATGATGATCTGCCAGACTGACTTGTTATGCTTTCTTTTAAGAAAAGGCTTTTCTGCATCTTCCATTATATGCATTTCAGAAGGGACTTGCAAAGGTGCAAGCTGTGAAATTATCATCTCAGTTGGAGAAAATGAACATTTTATGAGAATGGTATGGGCCAGGTGAAGAGTGAAGGCGAGACCCTGAATTTTAGGAGAGTGAACTTTCACTCGATAAAGTAATTAGTGGATGAGACCCCCTGGGAAACTACCCTTGGGGATAAAGGAGCAGAACAGAGCTGGCAGCTCTTTAAGGACGTTTTTTTTCTTAGCACACAAGAGCTCTTGATTTCCACATGTAAGAAATCGGGCAGGAAGGCAGGAGACCAGCATGGCTTAGTAAGGACCTCCTGGTCACACTAAAGTGTGAGAAAGAAATGCACAGGCAGTGGAACCAGGAGTATGTATCCTGGGAAGAATATAGGGACAATGCCTGGATGTGTAGGTATGGGATCAGGAAAGCTAAGGCACAGTTAAAGCTGAATTTGGCAAGGGATGTGAAGAATAGTAAGGATGTCTCAAGGTGCGTTGGCCAGAAAAGGAAGATTAAAAAAACCGTACACCCCCATGCCCTCCTGAAAGATAAGGCAGGAGAACTAGTGGCAACTGACACAGAGAAGGCTGAGGAATTTTAGGAGAGTGAACTTTCACTCGATAAAGTAATTAGTGGATGAGACCCCCTGGGAAACTACCCTTGGGGATAAAGGAGCAGAACAGAGCTGGCAGCTCTTTAAGGACGTTTTTTTTCTTAGCACACAAGAGCTCTTGATTTCCACATGTAAGAAATCGGGCAGGAAGGCAGGAGACCAGCATGGCTTAGTAAGGACCTCCTGGTCACACTAAAGTGTGAGAAAGAAATGCACAGGCAGTGGAACCAGGAGTATGTATCCTGGGAAGAATATAGGGACAATGCCTGGATGTGTAGGTATGGGATCAGGAAAGCTAAGGCACAGTTAAAGCTGAATTTGGCAAGGGATGTGAAGAATAGTAAGGATGTCTCAAGGTGCGTTGGCCAGAAAAGGAAGATTAAAAAAACCGTACACCCCCATGCCCTCCTGAAAGATAAGGCAGGAGAACTAGTGGCAACTGACACAGAGAAGGCTGAGGTAGTCAACAATTTTTTCCCCTCAGTTTTCACTGGTAATCACTCTTCCCACATCTCTCAAGTCCCTAAACCTCAAGGCAGGGACTGGGAAAACAAAGTCCCTCCCATCATAAGAGAAGATCAGTTTTGAGACCACCTGAGGAACCTGAACATACACAAGACCATGGGACCCAACAAGATGCATGCCAAGGTCCTGAGAGCATTGGCAGATGTAGTTGCTGAGCTACTCCCCATCATATTTGAAAAGTCATGGCAGTCAGGCAGAGTCCACAGTGACTGGAGAATATTGCACCCATTTTTAAGAAAGAGTAACGAGGTGTGCCCTGGGAACTACTGACCAGTTAGCCTCCCCTCAGTCCCCAATAAGATCATGAAACAGATCCTCCTGGAAGATATGTTGAAACACATGGAAGACAAGGAGGCAATTAGAGACTGGCAACATGGCTTCACAAAGGGAAAGTTATACCTGACTAATCTAGTGACCTTCTATGGTGGAGTAACTGCGTTATTGGGTAAGGTACAAGCTACAGATGTGATTTACCTTGACTTCTGTGGAGCCTTTGATAAGATCTCCCACGACATTCTTACCACTAAATTGGAGAGATTGGAGTTTGATGGATGGACCGTTAGGTGGATAAGGAATTGGCTGGATGGCTGTGTTCAAAGAGTTACAGTCAGTGGCTCAATGTCAGGGCAATACCCCAAATCAGCACAGACTGGGGGATGGATGGGTGGAGAGCAGCTGTGTGGAGAAGGACTTGGGGATACTGGAGGCTGAAATATTGGACACGACCTGGCAATGTGCGCCTGCAGCCCAGAAAGCCAGCTGTATCCTGGGCTGCATCAAAAGCAATGTGGCAAGCAGGTCAAGGGAGGTGATTCTCTCCCTGTAGTTCTTGTGACACCCCCCAAAGCACTGCGTCCGGCTCTGGGCTCCCCAGCACAAGAAAGCCATGGACCTGTTAGAGTGGCTCCGAGGAGGTCACAGAAATGGTCAGAGGGCTGGAAACACCTCTCCTGTGAAGAGAGGCTGAAAGGGTTGGGATTGTTCAGCCCAGAGAAGAGGAGGCTCCAGGGAGAACTTATTGCAGCCATTCAGTTCTTAAAAGGGGCTTATAAGAGAGATGGAGAAAGACTTTACCAGGGCCTATAGTGACAGGACAAAGCGCAACAGTTTTAAACTGAAAGAGGGCAGGCTTAGTTTGAATATAAGAAAGAAATGTTTTACAATAAGGGTGGTGAGGCACTGTCACAGGTTGCCCAGAGAAGTTGTGGGTGCCCCATGAGTCGAGTTGTTCAAAGTCAGGTTTGATGGGGCTTTGAGTAACCTGGTCTAGTGACAGATATCCCTACCCCTGGCAGCAGGGTGTGGACTAGATGACCTTTAAAGTTCCCTTCCAACCCAAACTATTCTATGATTCTGTGATAATTGCAACGTGGGAACTGGGTTTAGGGATGCCAAGGGACTGACCAGATTGCCTTTGTGTAAGGTGAATTCCTGGTATGGAAGCCTGAAAGGAACCAACTTGGAGGGACCCTGAGAAAAGAAACTAAACATTATGCTTTTTTTCTCTAGTTTGGTGGTGATGCTAATCAATTTGCCAAGGGCAATTAGTGTAATTGAACATTCTCAAACAAAAAGTGTTGTAAAATATTCGACTTGTAAGAATGAGTTGCTCGTGGTGAGAAAGAGCCTTTGAAAGTAGGACCGTTGAGGAGAGCAAAAGACTTTGCTGCAGTTGCTGTGCTGAGGCAGTGATTGACATGCATTCTGTTTAAAATCTCAGGCTTGCCGGATGAAAAGGGTCGATTTCAGATTCTCCATATCCACACAGTACGGATGCGGGAGCACCAGCTGCTGGCTGAAGATGTGGACATCACAGAATTGGCAGTTGAGACTAAAAACTTCAGTGGTGCTGAATTAGAAGGTTTAGTTCGAGCTGCTCAGTCTACTGCTATGAACAGACACATTAAGGTCAGTCCTATCATCTCCCACTGGGGACAAAAAAAAAAAGGGAAAATAATTATGTTTGGAATCTTCTCTTGAATGTTTACTTCCAAATGCATAATGACATCTCAGCATACCTTAGGAGATAAATTCATATGGACACCACCTTTTCACTGTCCTTTTACACGACTCTGAATTATCGCTTTCATCTCCTGACTTCCAAGTGGCTCTTGAATAGCTCAGTGGGAACGAAAGGTGATTGTTTGTCAATGTATTTTGATAAAAACTGAAAGGAAAGTCTTGAGCTCAGTTTATGAGTTGAACACAGGAGACAAGGTGGAAGCGAGAACAGCCGGTCGTACAGGAGGGATCTCTGCTGGAGCCTGTGCAGCTCAATATATTCATAAATATTCTGTAAAGAGGGGGGGAAATTGAGGTTACAAGCTCATAGTGGTTTTGTGGTCATAAAGATGAAGGCCACCTATGGAAAACTGCAGAAGGCATTTGAAATAATGTGAGTGCAGAAGCTATAGGCAGTGAATTAAAGTGTATATTGGAGAGAGAAAATTCAAAAAGGTATAGGCAGTGATAGGAACTGACCTGACCGTTACTTGGGGTCATGTTCTTGGGGTTATAATGATCTTGAAATACCAGCTCGGTCCATACCAGTAAAAAAAGCAAATACAACATTTGAGTTTACTAGGATTTGAATCTGTGCAGTCCTGGGACACCCAGCTTGAGAAGGTTACAGTAGAACTAGGGTATGGAAGGGCAGCAGGGAAGGTCAGAGGTCTAGGAGGGTTTTCATCAGAAGAATGGTTAGACTAGGATTTCTCAGCCTGAAAAAAATATGATGAAGGGTTATGAAAAGTATGTGAAATCATGAGTGTACTGGAATCAGTGAATGGGAAATGACTGTTTACTCTTTCCTGATATAAGAACTCAGAGAACAAACAATACCAGCGGGGCCATGAGCAAAGCAAAGCAAAGATGTACGTTGTGTGAAGAAGTATTAAAGCTATGGAAGGAATCGTTTGCTCCAAGTTATCGCTGAAGCTAAAATCTTGGTTGAATTCAGAAGGAGCAGAAGGACATCTTCCGTTTCAAATAAGAACTCACTTGGTGATTGTCTCAGTGTCCATAGAGACTTGTAATGTTCTCAACTCCCTCCAAAAAGAACATTGCCTTCCTTTCCTAGTGTTTGCTGATTATGGGAGGTCAGTGTATCTTTAACTAGAAAGGAGTTAAGGACCATGAAATGTCAGGTTATATTAATGCAGATGCAAAACACAGTATTCGATGGTGTTGAAATGTGAGATGATTAGCTGATGAAGAAGGAGGCTGAAAGGCACAACCCCTTTGCTCTAGTGGCCAAGAACTGGTCTGAATTACTGCAGAGAAAAGCCTTTGACATCAATTCACAGCACTGGCATATTTTTAAGTAAAAAATCTGTACAGCCTCGAATGTGAGGAAAACAAATCATACTTTCATTAAGTGAGAGAAATGATTTGGTTGCTTAGACATTTGTATCTCCTAGGGGCATTCTTTCTAAAGGAGGCATGACTCTGCTAATTTTTCTTATATAGTCATAATACTTAAAAATATTGTTTCCTATAGCAAAAAAACGCAAACATCAACATTTCTCATTTTCTTGTGTTCTGTCTCAAAAAAAAAATAATCAGCACCTCTGGAGGTATTTTCATCCCTTTGCAGGCAAAACATTTTCCTTAAATAATTAATTTTGCTTAAGTTGATGTTTTTTCAATGCTTGAATTTTGGGTGGGTTTGGGGACTATTAGTGTTTTGATATATTCCCTGTTGTGCCACAGTGGTAGAAGAGAAAACAGTGATGCATAAATGTAAACGAGCAGTCCTCTTCTTTAGGTTGGTATGTGATTGGCATCTTAATAATATATGTATGAATATTCCAAATGTGAAACGGCCACATTTTGTTTTTCTTTTCCAACACCTTGACATAGTGTTTTTGGATAATCTTATTGTTTGTTCTGAAGATGCCTTCAGCCACATGATGCACTAAGGTATTTTATTCTCTCCTACAAGTACTGCAAAATTTAAAATATACATCATAGGCCTGACCTAGTTTTCAGAAGCACCTAGGAGAAGCAAGAGCACAAACTGAAAATCAAGGGGCATTATTCTTCTGAATAATTTAAACTCTTCTGATAATCTCTCAAAGTGTGTGTGTGTATTAAAAATTAAAATGTGTAAGTCATTAAAGGCTAGGAAAGAAAGAACACCCCATGTTTTTAAGTGTACAAACAACTTCAGGAATATACTAATAGTGTTTTAAGTACCTTCACTTTCCTCTGCAGAGTAGACGAGTGGTCAACCTGTACTAAAGATCCTCTAGGTTGATATATTTGGCATCCTGTGTTTCTCCTTGGCGGGTGTTTTGGTGAGAAGGGATGCTATCATTTCAGCCATCCTCTGGTTATAGTTATTTGTTTGTGTCACCTTTTAAGGCTGGGCCGGCTCTT